TTTCCTTATTGTGTCTTCCAGTGGGTCAGTAGGTTTGTGAATGTCAAGGAAGGCTTGTTATGATTGAAAATCTACAAATATTTACTGTGAATACTGCTTGCAAACATCTATGTATTTGATGAACACAGACAGATGTATTGTTTGTAATGTAATAACATGCAGCTGAAGAGTTACATACACTGTCAGACTGACCTTAGTACACTTCCTGGAGCAGCCTGCAGGTAATGTGCCATGCTCTTGCTGACTAAACTTCATATTATTGGTTGTACTTAACTTTGCCTACAAGACTGGTACTTTCGCTGCACACAAAGAGATCCTCATTTCCTTTACCATCCTTGTTTTTAAATAAATGTCCCTGAAGTAGCATTAGCAACAGTTACAGTGGGTACAGAAAGTATTCAGACCCCTTTACATTTTTCACTCTGTTTCATTGCAGCCATTTGCTAAAATCAAAAAAGTTAATTTTATTTCTCATTAATGTACACTCAGCACCCCATCTTGACAGGAAAAAAAACAGAAATGTAGAAATTTTTGCAAATTTATTAAAAAAGAAAAACTGAAATATCACATGGTCATAAGTATTCAGACCCTTTGCTCAATATTGAGTAGAATCACCCTTTTGAGCTTGTACAGCCATGAGTCTTCTTGGAAATGATGCAACAAGTTTTTCACACCTGGATTTGGGGATCCTCTGCCATTCTTCCTTGCAGATCCTCTCCAGTTCTGTCAGGTTGGATGATGAACGTTGGTGGACAGCCATTTTCAGGTCTCTCCAGAGATGCTCAATTGGGTTTAGGTCAGGGCTCTGGCTGGGCCAGTCAAGAATGGTCACAGAGTTGTTTCCGAAGCCACTCCTTTGTTATTTTAGCTGTGTGCTTAGGGTCATTGTCTTGTTGGAAGGTGAACCTTCGGCCCAGTCTGAGGTCCTGAGCACTCTGGAAGAGGTTTTCTTCCAGGATATCTCTGTACTTGGCCGCATTCATCTTTCCTTCAATTGCAACCAGTCGTCCTGTCCCTGCAGCTGAAAAACACCCCCATAGCATGATGCTGCCACCACCATGTTTCACTGTTGGGATTGTATTGGGCAGATGATGAGCAGTGCCTGGTTTTCTCCACACATACCGCTTAGAATTAAAGCCAAAAAGTTCAATCTTGGTCTCATCAGACCAGAGAATCTTCTTTCTCATAGTCTGGGAGTCCTTGATGTGTTTTTTGGCAAACTCTATGCAGGCTTTCGTATGTCTTGCACTGAGGAGAGGCTTCCGTCGGGCCACTCTGCCATAAAGCCCCGACTGGTGGAGGGCTGCAGTGATAGTTGACTTTGTGGAACTTTCTCCCATCTCCCTACTGCATCTCTGGAGCTCAGCCACAGTGATCTTTGGGTTCTTCTTTACCGCTCTCACCAAGGCTCTTCTCCCACGATTGCTCAGTTTGGCTGGACGGCCAGGTCTAGGAAGAGTTCTGGTCGTCCCAAACTTCTTCCATTTAAGGATTATGGAGGCCACTGTGCTCTTAGGAACCTTGAGTGCTGCAGAAATTCTTTTGTAACCTTGGCCAGATCTGTGCCTTGCCACAATTCTGTCTCTGAGCTCCTTGGGCAGTTCCTTCGACCTCATGATTCTCATTTGCTCTGACATGCACTGTGAGCTGTAAGGTCTTATATAGACAGGTGTGTGCCTTTCCTAATCAGGTCCAATCAGTTTAATTAAACACAGCTGGACTCCAATGAAGGAGCAGAACCATCCCAAGGAGGATCAGAAGAAATGGACAGCATGTGAGTTAAATGAGTGTCACAGCAAAGGGTCTGAATACTTATGACCATGTGATATTTCAGTTTTTCTTTTTTAATAAATTTGCAAAAATTTCTACATTTCTGTTTTTTTCTGTCAAGATGGGGTGCTGAGTGTACATTAATAAGAAATAAAATGAACTTTTTTGATTTTTAGCAAATGGCTGCAATGAAACAAAGAGTGAAAAATGTAAAGGGGTCTGAATACTTTCCGTACCCACTGTAAATTAAGTCACTAGTGGGGGTTGGGTTGAGAATATTCTGTTGTGACTTGTTCTGACCCTCTACTGGCACGGTTAGGTGTGTACAGCATACTATAAAAGCATTTTTATAAAACAAGTTTACCTGCACCAAGGTCTGCGTAAAAAGTAATTGATCAAACGCTTGGGTAATTTTCAGATTGTATAATAAAACATTGTAAACAACGAGTAAGCAACAAACCAACATCTGTATAAAAGCTATGTTTCAAAACATCTACTAAGAAGACAGCTCCTTTAGCCAATAATATCTACGAGGAAAAATGTAGTTTATCACTAGGCCTCAGGGTTATTTCCTGTCCCCAATTAATCTGCATTTGCTGCTACCATTTAACACACTATAGAGAGACCCCATATTGTTCCCTGTTTACGGCATTATAGTGAAACACATTCAAAATATGCACCATTCAAATGTTTAGATGGACATAGTGAAGGTGAAAATGTGTTTTACTTTTTAGTGAAAATATCCAATCTAATTGGCAATTAATCAGACATGTGTACATCAAACCCCCCTTAGGATCTTATGGCTCTGGTTTGGTTTTTCCAGCCTTTAAAGATCCAGCTAATACTACATTTAGTAGAGATGTGTAATTCTACTCTACTCTACATGTTAGGATATACATCTCTTAATTAAGAGTCACATTTATGGTATAGCAACCTATGCAAACTATACTGTTCTAAATAAAGCAACCTGCACTTGCCTCCTGTTTGAAAGTGAAGTACAACAAGGTGAGACCACACGGTGAGACAGGTGAAAGTGAGAGCACCCGCAATAATGCGAGCTGCATTATGCACACTGACCCTGTGAGGTAATAACGTGCTAACACCGATCCTTCATTAAATGATAACCATTATTATTATTTTATTTGTTTTTCCCCCTCTGGGTTGCATGCTCGCGTCCAAATGATTCACCATCATCTGTGAGACAGAGAAAAAAGGAAGCTGCAGACCTCTTTTCATCTCTCTCTTCCCCCAGCCAGCAGTGAAGCAAGCAGCTCTGCTTCTTCCCAGGCTCTGCGGCTCCCAACAACAACCGTGCATGTTTTAAACAACACCAACAACAAAAAAAAAAATGTCTGAAGAAGAACCAAACACGTCGCCAGGGAGGAAAACAACGTTGAGGTAAAAAAAAAAAAAAAACACGAAAATATGTGCGTTATCTTGATGCGTGATGTTCTGCATAGCTAGGCGCGGGAGCTAGGTGTTAATTCGTGTGCACGTCTCGTTGTGTTGTGGTGAAGTGTCAGCGGGGTGATGAGGCGCTAAACACTTTGAACATTTGAATGTTACATCAGGGGAGGTGTTCAAGTCGATCCGCTGGTAGCGTTTATAGCTCAGTCACAATTTGTTCAGTCATTACTATGCTAACCACAGCTAGCTGGAGAGGATGGGGCTTCACCACTTCAGAGGGACGATGAATGTAAAAAAAAAAAAAATCTAACATGTAATTATTGTTTAAGATTCAATGTGGGAAAACAGTCCGTGTCGGTGTTAAAATATCAAAGAAGGAGTCATAGTAATTTTAATAAATATTTAATGTGTCAGGCGTGAGACAAACTTCAATTAAAGCTTAGAAGTTAAAGCCAGAAGGTTTTATAAACGTAAAGGAAATTGTATTTCTCAGTAGCCTTTGTCGCCGATAATAAAGCTTTCCATATTAATTCAAGGAACATTTTTTTTAAGGCGCTGTCAAATAAAAAAGATAAAGACGAGGACCATACGAGGAAAACCCCAAAAAATGCAGCCAAAACAAAGGCAAGTCAAGAATTGCCTTTCAAAAATGCATCCCGCGTTTTAGTGATTAAAACATGAGCCTTCAGTGTCTGTTTTGCGTCTTGTCATCCGTAATGAAGCACATATTAACATAACACGAACAGTGCTCGGACTCAGCAAGTCTGTTGTTGACATTTTGCATAAATGAATGATGCTGCGTTCACTTGGCTTCAGGAAATTTGTTTTCCCCCCTCCCTGTAGCCGGAGGTTCAGAGATTATGCATTCAGCTTTATTTGTGTTGCACAGAAAAAAAAAAAAAAAAAACTCCGTCACTTTGAACCAATTACTGTGTGTAATTACTGAAGGGGAACATAGGCACAGAGGGGAAATAAAATGTTCAATGTTCACAGCGGTGCTTCACTTGATATAGCTGACTCTATTCAGGTGACATTTGTATGTATCATGTCATCTGTTAAATTTAAAATGATTGATGACTTATTGTCAAATTGCTGCTTTATTTTTAGGATCCTTGTATTCTGCATGCTGGCTCACTGCCAGGCCTTACTGGGACACTTTAAATAGGTCACAGCCATTGTTAATGTTAGTGGTAACACTGGGACTTTCCGTCAATGTGACAAGTCAAAACATGACAAAAGACCTGCTTGTAGATAAGATATACATGCGTGGCATATATTTGGTACATATTTGCATCTCCCATGGGGGAAGTTTTTGCATTACAGCAGCTCAAGAAAACAGGAGACGGGAATATAATTATTAAAAATAAAAATAGAAGCTAAAAATCAAACATATTTATATCAGTTAAATAAAAAAAATACAATAATGGAAAACTACACAGTATCTACACTGGACAGAGTTATTGTTATTAAAAAACAGTGTGGAGCATGAGGTGGTGAATGAATATATATATATATATATATATATATATATAAATGTTAAATAAATAACTATGTAGTCCATTAACACTTAATGATCATTGTGGCCTTTGATGTAAAGTAAGCGAAGTCGCAAGTGAATTCTCAAATTCAAACTAAATTGAATATTGTCATACTTTTACGTTCAATTGCTGATCTTGCTGTTTGCCACAGGCTACACCTTCTTTCCCATTGTCATCAAACGCAGCATCAAACTCTTTGCAATGATTGGAACTTAGGCAGCCAATCATAAATCTTAAAACACACTAAGGCCCGCCCCTTTCCTCTAACAGCCAGTCAGCTTTGGGTAAAGTGGAGCTGCAGTTCCTGTAGTCAAAAAAGCACATTGCTTTGACAGAGAAGAGAAAGCTGTTAATCTTTTAGCAATCTGATTGAGCTCCTGAGTTTTATGTTCCTCGACATAATGCCAACCGCAAGGTAAGATCCAAGTGAATATATTCTCTAGTGTTTCCACAGGGAGCAATCCTTCTTCTGTTGTGATTCACTTTTTTTTTTTTTTTTTAAACATGTGCTCCAATGTGTCAGTTTCCTGAGGGCTGAGTGGAAACAGGAAAACATTAAATTTCAGAGTTTTAAACTTGATGTGCAGTTTCAGTGAGTCTTGGTTTCTTGCATGTTGAAGCTTAACTGCTGCACAAGAGTGAACAACATTTCCGTCTGTGAATTCAACTGGACATTAAGTATGTTTGTGTCTCAAGTTTTATGAAAGTTGGGTAACCGATAGACTTTGACCACTATCATATCTTCTGAAAATGTCTAGATAAAAGACTCAGGATGCTACCTTTAAAAAAACCTTATCAAACACTTATTTCTGCTTCAGTGTGCAAACAGTTGTCCAACCACACATTATTCTGAAGGCTTTAAATGACACTCAAGGTACACATGTGTGAACATGAGGAAAGTGACACATAATTGTCCTTTATTTTCATCTTTTCAATGTTATCTATTGCCTTCTTTTCTTTCGAAAAAACCCCAACTGAATGGGGGAAAGGAAACCTCTTTAATCACAGTATATATTTATTAGTGTAAGCTGAAGATGGATCCCTCTTTAATTCTTTAAAACAAATGAATCACTTTCTTTTGAGCTAATTTACAAGTCTTTTCGTAGCTTTTATTCTCCTTTTTTGGACACGTGTTAGTTAAGAGAGTTCTGATAATCATCCCTCATTAATGGTTTTTTTAATTCCGCTCATCAGAAATGGATGATTTTTCGATATCACAGCAGGCTGATTGTTTCCTCTGTTCACTCACAGCTGGTGAGTGGGAGTCTTTATAATACAATATGTTTTTTGTCTCCTCACAGTGAAAACACACTCTTCGGGATGGGAAATCCCTTGCTTGACATTTCAGCTGTCGTGGACAAAGATTTCCTCGATAAGTAAGCCTACACCACACATTTCTTCTTCACTGAAATCTTTTTTTTTTTTTTTTCAGCTTTTTCAGTTCTGACCAATTTGTTTAAAACATTTTTGTAATCCTTCCTCAAGGTTTGGACTGAAGCCTAATGACCAGATCCTCGCTGAAGACAAACACAAAGCCTTGTGAGTCCAAACTTTCTCTGGGGCACCATGTGCTTCAGTAGTGAACCGCAAAGTGTTAAAATTACGTGGCGCCAAATAAGGGATGCACTGGTCATTCATACCCATTACCATCTTGACACTTAAGCTGTAGCGCTCAAAATAGCTGAGTTATAAATCAACCCTCTTGGGGAGCCTCAGACCCCCACACACCCACATGTTTCCCATTCTGAATTTGGGCCAAACTACACTTAAGATGCCTCGGAAGTTACAAACATTTAATCTGCATAGTTAATTTAAATACACGGCACTAAAGCCCCACAAGATTTTTGAGGAGAGGTTTGCTGAGCTTGTGCGCTCCTTTTTTCAGACCTTCACTCCCCCAAGTTGCAAGGGGATGCACCAGTAATTGTATAGCCTTCCTCAAAAATGTGGTTGCATGCCCCCGGGAGTAGCACTTGTCTCTTTTGAAAGCGCCTGAAATAAACACGGACGGTAGAAAGCAAAGAGACTAATTTTAAAAATGTGGACAGAATGAACACCTTAATTGCAGACTGACCCTACACCGCCCTCTTTCCTCTGTTTGATAAGAGTACAGATGGTGTCTTTTCAGGCAATTTGTCTGTGTTAATGCTAGTGCACACATAAAAAAAACTCCACCATCTGCAATTAAGATGAAAGAGACGGTTATGTGTGTGAGACAGGGGCGTGTCCAGATTCTTTTGACTGGGGTGGCCCAACTCGGGCACTGACTAATGAAGTGGTGGCCGCAAATAAATATAGATTATTTACCCTTTCTAACTTCACCAATCATATCTTCTTTATAACACAGGATAGTTTTCAACATATGTCCCAACTCTGACAGGGCTAATAACCAATCACATTTTAGGATTTTTGGGGTGGCACCTGTGTTGGCCAATCAGATTTCTGAGGGGGGCTAATGCCACCCCTGGCCAAGCACCTGGCATGAGATGTTTTGAAAGTCTCATGGATTCATCAGGATGAATCTTCTGTTTAGTTTTAGTGTCTCAAAAGTAGGACTTCAAATATTCTTAAGAATTGTAATTAAACTTTTTAACTAAAATAAGAGAACATCTTTATTCAAGTGCTTCGTCTTTGCCCTGGTAGTTTGGTCCATTACAATAAACATAGTACAAAAATAACAATCAGAACAAAAGCCGTAAAATCAAAATGGACTGTGCAATAAAAAAATAAAAAATAAAAAATAAATAAAAACCATAAAAAAGTATTTAAAATGTATTTGTATTTAGGGATGTGCTTTAAGAACTCAGGCCTTTTTAAAAGTAACAAAGTGCAGGAGTTGATAAGAAAAATTAAAGATGATACAGTTATCAACTCCTGCACTTTGTCACTTTTAAAAAGGCCTGAGTTCTTAAAGCACATCCCTAAATACAAATACATTTTAAATACTTTTTTATGGTTTATTTTTTTATTGCACAGTCCATTTTGATTTTACGGCTTTTGTTCTACTTGTTATTTTTGTACTATGTTTATTGTAATGGACCAAACTACCAGGACAAAATGTTGAGAATTGAAGCAATCCTGCAAAGTCCCAGTAAAAAAAAAAACACACATACATAACTTGATGCATCAGGCTGTTGAGTTATTAAGTCAATGATTTTCTTTCACAGCATGATGATGACTGTAGTTAGGATGCTGATTAGAACTCTCAAGAGGAGCTGTCGATGTAGTTGTTGATGAAGATATGTTCACTTTAAAAAAAGAAAAGAAAAAAGTGCTCTGCCTCTGTGCACTGCCTGTCACCACCTGTGTGTCTGATCAGACTTAAAGCTGTTCGTTTGCACTTACTGATGTTGTTTCGTCCTCTAGACCCTTGCTTGTGTTTTACTGACTCTCTGATGTGTGTCGCTTTGGATAAAAGCGTCTGCTAAATGAATCGTAGCATTTCTTTCTTTTCTATTCTGGCGTCATGGATGTGATCTATGATCCTCTCTCGTTCATTTGGCTCCTGATAGAGCTACAGTACCAGACAATGTGTGTTATATTCACTCACAGTCTGCTGCTAGATGGCTTGTCTCCGTTTGCTGCACTCACTCTCACTTTTTTTTTTTTAAGGCGTTATTTACCCAGAGTCACTGAGCTGATATATTGACAGGAATTTTAGTCTCCATTCTCACCTTCACACCTCGAAGCTGTCCAGTACATCCATGGTCTTATCTGTTGGCTGTAAGATAACAGTGTTTCACTTATCAAGTGTCTGCCGAGCAGCTCCACTGGAGTAGTTTGGTGTTAAGCACTTTGCTTAAGGGCACCTCAGCAGTGATAACGTGGAGGGAGGGAGGGAGGGAGGGAGGGAGGGAGGGACAAGCTCTGCTCTCCAGCTCCTCCAAAGCTTCCATTAAATCCATCCTGCTGTTCTTGGAATAAAGGTGACCAGTCGAGACAAAAAATTCCAGAAGAATCGTCGTCCAATTATTTGGATACAGTAATTTTAATAGCATTATAGTGGCTACTGTAAACTGGAGCCATCTTGTCCACCATTGTTTTGTCTGCATTAGAATATTGCTGAGTCATATTTATTTTTGAAATGATGGAAGCCTTGTCTTTTTAAATTCCCCGTGTAAGGACAATATTTGTTTGTCTTGTATAGCAAAATGTGTGTTTTTTTTTTTAAAGTTTACAGAAAATGAATTTTCTTAAAAATAGAACAAATGATACTTACACTTGAAATCTGATCCAGACCAATAAATCCGATAACTGACATTATCGGCTGATATGGGCCTATCACAGATATATAGTATGATCTGTGTATATTTTCTCTTATAAGCAACAGTGTGAAACCTTTAATTGAATTAACATGCATTTCAGAAAACACTGCTTCAGCTGTTTAAAGAAACAGCTTCATTCCAAAGTTTGTTTTAGCAGAACACGCTCCGACTCCACATTCACACTCGGCACTGTCCGCAGTACATGTAGCAGTGCATCGCTGAGCAGATTGCGTTGTAGACGGGATAAAATGATTTCTTTTTAAAACTCCAGTCAGGAGTCTTTAGGTGGTTAGGAGACAGACTGCTGTAAATGCTAATGACTTCATAAGACAAAAGCATTCCAAACCAATCAGCGACAAGATTGACCATTTCTATATAATACTTTGAATCCCTTTAACTGCTGACACTGGGTAGGTGACAGATCACATGAGGTACATCATGCTTTAGAAAGAGCCTTTGTTGACTTTTTTGCAAGTACAGATGCACAGAGAGATACATTTGACTATTATAGGGCAGCAGTCTTAGATTCTTATCATAAAATAACCCACTTTTACACATACAGACGAAGATGAGCAAAGAGTCTACCTCTTTGTCCAAAGGGGGCAGCGAATATAACACAAATGGAAAGACCCTCACAGGAGCTTTTAAAGATATCTGTTTGAGAGAGAAGAATTATGAGTACCTTCACGTAATCATACCAAAAGTGTGCATGCAACATAATAAAAGCTCTTTCCTAAAAGCAGCTCAAAATGTCACTTTTCTCAGTCTGTAATCGATGCACTTTTTTGACTCTTAAAATAGGTGTCAAGCTTAGGGTCAGGCTACACTTCTCAGTGATTATACTTCAGACCACTGTGAATGCTTTGACGCAGATCTGAATCGCAGATGTGTTTTTTACAAAAAAGACAAAGTCAGAGGATTATTCAGCCTTCGCAGAGTTCCTATGAAGTCTTATGTCCGCAGCGTGCATGTTAGCTTAACACTTTCTGACCCTGAAGGAAAAACAAATCGGTTTGAGTGTCCTCAGAGCCAAGCAAAACCAAAATGCCCAAATTATAGTCGTAAAGCCGCAAGAGTATTGCGTACCCAAAACAGAGGCCGATCAGTACATCAGACAGTCTGTACCTTACAATGGGCTACCTTGTCAGTACTAGTTACCTCACAAAGGGACGCATGTGACCTTGGGCGGGAACAGCAGCAGATGCAGCGGCAGCACAAAGCAGCATCATCAGCAGTGTTGTTCTCCTGCAGCACAAAGGCAGCGGTGTTATCTTTAGTCACACAGACACCGTTCCCTCCATTCGGCACAAGGTCAGGGCAGGATTAACATGCGGCTTTGGTGGTTTATTCCCAGCACAATGCATTTCAATGCATATCCCCCCCCCCCCAACACCACACACACACACACACACACCAGCACACATGTCCTCATTGCAGTCAATTTATACAGGACGGTACATGTGGTATTTATTCGTTACATCATTATTGCCTAATGGCAGTACAAAGGAAGAAACTAAGCTTAAAAAAAGAGTCAAATTCAAAGCGCAGGTCATTCACAAGGTCATCGGTCCATGGAAGAAAAAGTACTCGACTGAAGTGTTCTGACAAACATCATTACTTAAAAGGCCACAATAGACTTACAAAGCTAGTCGACTAACACTATTGTTGTGCTTCTGAATCTACAGAGTGTAACACGATTCATTTTTTTTCTCCCCATCACCCTGGTGGGAGAGAGATCATTGGATGCAGTGCACTGTGGCCATGCCTGAATTCAATTATCTAGTCACAGCAGAGCCCATATAATCCTGTTGTGGCTGAGAAATTGCCTGCTGTAGAAACCATCAACATCCCTGTTAGTACTGGCTAGGGACTGAGTTTTTTCCCTCCTCAGAATAAGCCTCGCCTGTGACTTGCGATGCTTTTTCATTGCACTTCAAATGTTCTACAAGTTCCAATTAATTCCAAGTTTTCATTCTTAAGGCTTTCAGTTTATTTTTTACTTATTTATTATTATTATTATTATTATTAAACAAGTGCTGGAAGTGGATCAACAGAAATAACTTAAAATGTGAAGATGTGTTTCTTGTCTCTGATTTATATATTATTAATATTAGTCATCTTTGGCTTCATGATTATTATTGTGACAAAAAGACATTTTAAAGGCATCAGTTTCGGCTGTGGAAGCTTATATATATATATATATATATATATATATGAGCTGTAATCATGAGGTAATTCTGCAATCATTGTGTTTATGTAGCAATCATTTTTTCC